CTCGTACTGTTGATAATCATATGTTATGACACAATATTGACAATGACATAAGATTCTTTCCTTAAAACATAAAATTAAAGCATGCGTGTGTCCCAAGTTTAAGGTCACAAAACGTCCTAAATCAAACCATACTAATTAAAGCATAAAGATATAATTAAGCCACGTGGATGTTGCCACCACAAATGTGCATACGATGATAGCGGATGCGAATTCAGAATTTACACTCGACAAATTTAGTCTTTAAAGTTTTTAATACTATTTTTATACTCGATGCGTCTATATGTGTTCCATGTCCCGGGTTTCAAGCTTTGTGACTCTGTCCTCCTTCGATCGTTAGTGATTTGAAATGTCATATGGAGATAATATGCTAAAATTAGAACGATACGAAAAAGATTAGCATGTCGTTACGCAAGGTAATGAGAATTTAATGTCAATAATTTTGAAACAATTTTGCTTTCTATTTGTGCAACAATGATGCATATTCAAGACCTCTAAAGTCAAATTCAAGGCAAACAATTAAAGTTATCTTCCTATGTTACTTGTTTAGTTCTTTAAATGGTTCAAGTTAAGAGAAGATTCTTGTATTAACGCATTTGACGCTCTATGATTAATTCTACCTCAAATATCTTGGAATTATGAATCATGACTAGACAAAATTAATTGCAACTTACGATCTAGGCCTATGGCACGTATTGTTCGCTTTGGGCTTAAGTCGCATGGATTTGTCTTCCAGGATATGTCACATCGAATCCCAAAAACACGCATACCATGTGAACTTGTGTTATGCCTTATAAAACTCTTTACTTTCCTCTCTCATTTCGATGTGGGATTCGTCTAAGATGACATGTGTACCCCTTAGCCTAGAAGCGTGTCAGTCGTGCAGCACGCCCTCCGTCATGGGTGTATATATATATACATATACATATATATTGACGAGAGTATAGCAGAAGCAGTCAGCAATAATGTGCGTACGCCACAAGCAAAACATGATTAGTCACATTACATATAGTCATGACCCCCAGGGACACCAACTTAATTCTTACTGATTGTATACTACTATACATGCATATGAACATAACAACATTCTTATTTCATTTATAGAGATAGGAAGAGAGGCAGCATAGACCCACAATAGACATTACGGGTTCGATACGATTCAGTAATTTTGGCTCAAATTTTAATAGGTGTAAATAATAACCTTAGTAATTTTGGCTCAAATTTCAATAGTTAAATTCTTGATGTCGCTTTATATAGTCCCTAATTTTTCCTCTCATTTTGATGTAGAACTTGTCTAAATCAAGTTATAATACAAGTAGCTCCCTTTCGAGTTTGTATGTGGAATATACTGGGTATGTTGTCGTTGTTGTTGTAGCTCTCTTTCGAGTTCAACCGCCAGTAGTTCGTGAACTGTTAGGTCTTAATAATATCAGTTCAGAGTGAAAAAGCAGCATGTGGATTTTTCTATTTTCTCTAGTGAAAATAGACAGATTAGAGAGAGCAAGTACTGGAGTTGCTGTCAAGGATTTGCAAGAGACACCCTTTGTATTCATTCATTCATTTGGTAGGTCCATTATATATTCCAAAGAAAATGAAACTTGAACTACTACACAAGAAGTTAATTAGCATTTTACTAATTATGAGGTGAAGTTCCATAAAGACAAAATATTAATAATACAATCTCTTCACATTACACTTAATAATTAAAGGAGTGTTCTTTTTGTTTTTCACACTATTTGATACCCGTATTGTGATTTGACTAATTTGGTTTAGTGTCGTAAAGTACCATATATATTTGGAAGGTAAAGTGCTCCAAAATAAAAATGATTCCATACCTTTCTCGAAGTCGAAATTTTTGGTTAAAGATGAAGTAGTACTTATCACTACACCACAATCTTTGTAGGTATAATTAAAGGAGTTATCTTGTGAAAAATCTTAGGAAATAGATTTTATTCATTTTATAAAGTTTGCTTAGGTGTATACCAAAAACAAATCATCGATATTAATATTATAAAGTTTCTGTCTTTTTAGCTATAATAATTAAACACAGAAAGGCAATTAAAGACCCCCACAAAGATATTTCACAAGTACTTGATCTTAATATAAATATTAAAAATTTAAGCAATTATGTATATTGGTTGTGTAAAGATATTTTTACATTATTAATGTAGTTTAAGTGATAGCAATTATATTTTTCCCAATAATGTGTGTGCGCGCGCTTAAATGTATATTTCAAAACCTACTCTCTCAGCTCATAACTTATTACAATGTCTAAGTTTTAGATTCGACCTCCACTTCAAAACTTTGCTTTTTCCTTATTTTTGGTTAACCATTCAGTATCCAAAATTACTGACCCGGCTAATCAAAATTCACGCTCGTAGGAAAAACTCTTTATTCCTAGGGCTCGAATTCGAGATATCCGCGGAAGGGATTCTAGATGTTCTACCACATCCCTTGATGGCACAGAATTTTGTTAATAGAATATAGTCTAAGGCTTCAAGGAAAACAAATCTCAGAATTTTTGCAATACAACAAGTCATCTTCTATTTCCAGATGGCACTCAAAATAAAGCAATCCGTTGTTGTAAATTTCTAAAATAATAATTATAGAAACTCATTATTAATTCCCTGATCAGCTAATTCTTGAAGCAATTATGACAAATGATTGATGTGTTTAAATTTAGAGAAAAAAGCCACATTTGTTGTTATATTATTCGAAATTGAGTAACTTTGCACTCCATTAAATTTGATCTAATTTTACCTCTCTTGTTACGAAATGGTCTTGTTTTTGCTCTTAATGGAGACCAATAAACTTAAATTATAGTTTTCTCAAAAATATGACAAGCAATATTCTTCCAACGTGCAACAAGTTTCAAGTACTAACTTGTTTTTTAGTATATAAGAGCAACCTTTAAGTAGAAACTAAGACCATAAAGATTAATCAATTGTACCAAAAGATTCCGGTATAGCGGTAAAAATTTAATTAATATGCATATTTTTACGGTAAAAAATTAATTAATATGCATATTTTTACTTTAACTTGATGAAGTTAAAGTTAAAATACTGAATGGAGGTAAATATTTACTGTGATATAGCGATAAATGAAGTGACTATAAGAGATCAAGATTCCACTAAAGATAAAAAATGCTAGATGATTTATTTTCTATCTGCCTAAACAAACTGAATTACTCAATAACTGTGTTAGTACCAGGTAATGAATACTCATTAGTGGTGAAGCAACATGGTCACAAGGGTGACCACCCGAAAAATTGCACTGTGTATATAGATAAAATATGACATTTTAGAGGTATATAACACATATTGAACACCCTTTGTCGGAAATTTTTTTTCACTTCTTTCAAGTTTTAATACTCTTGAAAAACTTTCTAGGTTCGCCACTGATACTCGTGAAATAGTCGAGTTGTGCACAACTAGAACACGGTTATCCAAAAAATACAAGGACCACAAAGATTAGTAGTGCAAGCAAAAAATTGAGAAATGTATACTTTTAGCCACTCCTTAAAATAATAGCCGATAAAATATATTTTTTTTTTATGTGGGTATTATATACATATTACATACACTTTTTAGTAAGCGAATGAAATTAATTTCTCTCCACTGGATATTTTTGTATTTTACCCTGAAAAAAATTCGACTAGCGCATGTGCAGTCGTTATCATTTGCAATGGGAATGGAATGTTTATAATAATAATTAATATAACGAAGTATCTGAAGCACATATCCAACATTCCATTTGCAAATAAAGTATTAAAGGGTTTAATTAAATAAATAAGTTGGGTGAGTGGGCTTGAGTAAAAACTTTCTTGCAAGGCAGCATTTGGTATTAAAAATGCAGTACTCTTAAATAAACAAATAGATTTAGGAGATACAAGTGAGCTAGAAAAGACAGAAGCTAAGCAAGCTACACACACACAATTTATATATATATATATATATATATATATATATATAAATTCCTCATTCAACGTATCAAAAAGAAGATTGTGATAAGTTCATATTCTCCAAATTTGACTTACGAATGTATGGTTAAGGAGAGGAGAGAAAGAAGGTAAACATGGAAATTTTGCCTATAGGAGATTGGAGAATCTATGAAAGGACATCTACCGTTAAGATTACGAAGTAAAGAAAGTTCATTATGGAGAGAAATGCATTCACCAAGATAGTCTTGCTCGCTCCTGAACTCTGCGGCTCCTACATCAAATCCATCCTCCTCCGTAGTTCACGTTCATAGAGGGAGACTTCCCAAACGAAGACTCCAGGTCATTGAACGAACACAAGGCTTTAGCAAGCCACCCAATGTAGGACGAATTACCTCCCATCCGTTCTAGCTACTCCACATTGGCCTTAAAAGCGCCTACTTTTCTTTCTTTTTTGGGCTCTCACCTTGAGCGAATCTTATTCAAATAGGGATCTTGTCTTGCTTGTTGTGAGATAGGAAACTTCTGAAACATAAAGTAACAAGACCATAACCTCGTGCCCTAATCTTAAAAGGATTTCACAACAGAGTGAAACCGACATACACATAAATATGGTTTCCTCTTTCCATTCCCAAATACTGGCTTCCTCGTGCTTTTAAAGACACAAGTAACACAACCTTTCTTAAATTAAAACTTCCGATTACGCGATTAAGCAACCATAAACAACTCCTGCAGATATCAATTACCAAGAAAAATCGATAATCTTATTACTTTGTCTAGATACTCTTCAAGGCATTGTTCAACGAGCGATCATAGAGACAACTGGACACAGATAAAATTAACTTGCTTAGTAGTGTCTATAATTGGACAACTAGATCCATTGCTTAGGAGTAAACTGCTTCTGATAAACAAGAAAGGACTTCATTTAGCTATGCAATTTTCTAGACATAAGTTCATATAAGAGGACCTTCAGTTGACGGACAGTAAAGATTCATATAGCCGACCACAACTTGCTTGGGATTGAGGCATAATTATTGTCATTGTAAGCTCATATCAGAAGGTATCATCATTGTATGAAATAATTTCAGAGATTTTTCTTCATTTTATTGATATGCTAGTTTTATATTCATGGTTCTTCAATACAAACATTGAGCTCTTGTCAACCTTCAAGTGAAATTAAATCAGATGAAGATTGATACCTCAGTTAATCTTTCACAACTTTAACAACTAAACCTGTGGGTGACTCAACAGTTTTGAGATGGCCCGAACCTAGCAAATCTCGGAGATGAAATCTCATATCAAGGGGAGAGAGTCGAAGGCGCTTCTTTTCCAGAGAAGCCATTGCCATCTCTTTGTACTTTCTACGGTTGAGAAAAGACATAAGCTCCTTCCTTCCCTGGTATAAATTGCAGAATGCTAGTAAATCATAGTGGACGCTAACCGAAAATATTCATATAGAACGTCTGTTTGGTGTTTAAGGAAGTCATTTCCATGGAAAATATTTTCTGAAATGCTTTTTGGTGTTTAGTCGATAAGTGAGAAGTATATTCCGAAAGAAACATATATTAAAGATTAATAATATTAGCAAATCTGAGAGCACTTTGATAATATTAATAATGACGTCAAGGTGATAGTTCAAGTAATATGAGGTTAAAAAAAGTTAAGATAGTTGTATGGAAAATGACTTCCGTCCATAAGTGAGGGAAATCATTTTCCCCGTTTGATGGAAAATGTTTTTTTTTTTCCTGAAAAACTACTTCATGAAAATAAACAACAAACCCAGTGAAAAAAATTACTTCATGAAAATCACGGAAAAAAATGACTTGTCGTATCAAACACACCTACACAGACAATCATGAATCTAGATTGAATTTAAAATGGGAAGGAGAGGGAGATGTCAAACCTGCGATAGGCCCTTGAGAACTGATCCAATATTTGGAATTGCAAACCAGTACATGTTTGGATCAATCAGTTGCCGCGTCTTGGAGAAAAAATATAAGGAAAAACAAGAAATGAAACAGCATGAGAAAGGATTTGAATCAAAATTGGGATAGTAAAAGATATAACACTTCAATGTAAGATTAGATTATGCCAAATATAATTCTTTCAATTCAGCAGTTCTAACCCAATGAGAATCCTTTAGAAAAAGCACATAGAGGGACAGACTTTAGTGCTTTACAGAGGCTTGTAACAATTACAAAGGCAAAACACAAGTGCTAGTACTTAACACCTTTCACCTAGGGATATAGGCTACACCATGCCTCCCACTATACTTTTGCTTTTGAAACAACAAGCATAGAGTTCAAGTCCAAGAAGCAGCAATAAGGGCTTTCACAAAGCTGATAAAACATGACCCTTTGCAGAAACTGGAAGAAGTGGCATCTTAATACCCGTGTTACATTCATAACTACGACATTCTGATTCAAGGTTCATCCTAGAGAATTCTTAATGGCACAAAGAGGTTTAATTATCATAAGAGTCGTAATCGGCATTCTAATTTGGCCGTTCTAGAAAACCAGTACAAAAACAAGTCAATATTTTGGATGCTGCAGCATTAAGGGTATAATAAAACAAATGCTGACATCATACAAGCAGCCCAACTTATATCACAATAAAGAATCAGAATCTAGCTTACCAAAAGTCCAGCATTAATTAAGAGGGAGATGTGTTCCTCCTTCACCTTGCCCCCCAATGACAGAAGCGAACACTACAGCCACCAGAAAAGAAAAAAGAAGTGAAAGTCATGAAAGATAAAGAACCAAAAATGTCATGTGCCTCCGCTTAAGCCTACACTTATATGTAATTATTTAACAATTAAATCATAAAATAAGTAGAGACCTTATAGAAAGAGTTTCTGCTCATATAAAGTAACCATTTTTCTTGACAAAATTGATGCAATCTACTTCATTCATCCATAAATATTTCACCAAGGTTCATTTAAGGAAAGTTTCATAGAAATCTATTCAGCATTTCAGCTTAAGAATAGAAACCATTTTTTACAAACCAAATATCGACACATTGGTGAGCAACCTCGGATGGATACAGTACAATACTCCCTCAATTAACATTCTGATACTCTGCTAAACTACATTATTGAATTTATTACACCATTCCTTGAGCATACTATCAGTAAACAGTTCTACAATTTTTCATTAACATACAAAATGTGCACGTGGCAATTCTGTCCCTTTCTTGGCTATAGAGAAGAATAGATTATCATCATTACCTCTTAGGGCCTTCTGAAGAAAAGCACTATGAAGTGAAAATAAATCCTTTTCTAGACAAGAGACGGAAATTTCACACCTAATATGTCTAGATTGTTTGAACCAAGAAGTAACGGCTCGTCTCCATACACAGAAGTACAACCAGAGAGAATCACAACCTCTCTATTAGCTTTGGCTTGGTTTACTTCTCATTATTTAGGGGAGAAACTCCATCTACATGAGTTACATGAAAGCCGATTATAGTCAGTCCCAACTCCCAAGCCTGGATAAAAAAGGACGTTACCATAGGTTGACAGCCAGTATAAATAATCTAACTCTGAAGAATCTTGAGGCCTCATAGGCTTCATATAGCAGGCACCAACTATTTGGATTGAGGTGCAGTTGATCGATACTGTTTGGGGGAGACAGAATAGTGAAGCTGATCCAGGTGTATTCCCTGATTTAGGCTTTTTCAAAATTTCAGTGTTTTATTCTTTTTTTGGTTGATAACCGAGAAATCCCAAGAGCCAATAGCGCACGGCTCAAAACAAGGTTGCACTTAAATACCGGGCTTTTGTCTGCAGTAGGGGCCGAACCCGTGACGTGTGCCTAACCTACATATCACGCATTGTGCTCTTACCACCAGACCAAAGCCCTCGGGGCAGTGTTACTTGTTAAACTACAAAGTAAAACCTGAAAAAGCATAAAACCACATGTCAGGATTATACATCAGCTTGCAATCAAGAACAAGCCAATCTTTTGCCATCAAATAGTTCAAAAAATTAACTTAAAAAGAAAAACTCTAGTACAATACCATCAGAAATCTGAATACTCACTCACTCTCTGACAAACAGCAAAAAGTTAAGACTGGCAGAAGAATAAATTGCACATAGCATATATGTAGGCCCATATTAGAGAGGAGCATACTTCAGGAAAAACTGCATTAACATCTGTGGAAAGAATGCAACATTGCAAGGTAATTATGTCTTTATAGCAACTGTCAAGGCCATGCCCTAAAATAGAAATTACAGAAGGTTAGCAGATCAATCAACCATCACAAATTAAAAATTCAACATTACTACCAAGACTCCAGCTTTAAGCCAAAGCAATCACCAATACAAGAAAGGTGAAAAAAAACGAGAACTAAAAGAAGAAAATGAAAATGATCCAATCAATTCCACTTTTATTTGAAAATTTANCAATGAGGTATGAGGACAGAAATTGAGAAGAGGGCAAAATTTGACACACACTTTAAGAAAACAATATGATTTAAATAGAGCAATAGGTTATACAAGAATGAGTAATTTAGAAGGAACTTTTTCATAATAAATCAGCAGAAGTCTATAGGACCTACTCAAGCAGCGTAAAATAATTGGCTTATGAGGTGCTACAAGAAAAGGCCATGTTAAAAGACAATTTTTTGCAGCATATCAGTATGGAAAAGACCAGGTATGTTCACACATGTAAATTAAAAGAAATTTGATTCATCATAATATCACTCTGAGAAGATCACTCACAAGTTCATCATGTCCAATACTGGGATCTAGCTTTGAATGAATTACATGCTCCTTGAACCATTCAAAAACAGAAATGTCCTCCAGCTTCTGTGCTTCCAATCTTTTACTGACACGATCAATCTAAACAAGTATTTGAGGCAAGTTTTATTACCAGAAATTTCACTCACAAACAAAAGTACAAAACTGATGATCGATTAAAGATACCCATAAAATAACATAAGCAATAGACTCCACCAATAAGATGAAAATGATATAGTTACATAGGGGTGTCACAGAGATGCAGGTCGCACATGTACTTAGAAATTAAAGTTTCTTTGAGAAACTACATTAGAAAATACCAATAATTGGAAAACAAGAAGGACAAATGCAGAAAACAGTACCGTGTATCTCTTTATGGGGGGTGAGAAACTACACTAGAAAATAAGGAATAATTGGAAAACAAGAAGGACAAATGCAGAAAACAGTACCGTGTATCTCTTTATGGGGAGGGGAAGGGAAGGGTGGAGATGCATTTGAAATCAAGTGACACTTTGCCGAATGTAGAAGTTAAGCCACCAACCTGACTAAAGTAGTCATCCAAAAACATTATAGCATGATCGTCTTGTCCAGTATTTAATTTGAAAGTACGTATAACTCTTTCTCTCCTTAGTGACTGTGAGAGACAGATACCCAACACATCTTGTCAGCTGTTATCAGTTGGGTGCAATGCCCACAAATGGAAGAGAGTAATAATGTAAAAGAACACTTCAGAAGATGTAAAGTCGTGAGTAAAATGGTCACGGAACTCAAAATGAACTCTGAGAGCTATCCATGACAGACTCAAAATCCAGTGAAATCTCTGTACCCAGAAGATGCAATTCTACCAACTGCATTGGACCAAATTTTGTGCGAAAATAATCTTACATAAGGGAAAGATGACTTAAGAGCAAACTCATTATATCAGAAAATACAAATCTTTGACAGTTGACCAATAGTTTGAGTCAATAAAGCAAAACAAGTACAACAACAACAACAACAACGATCCAGTAAAATCCCACAAGTGGGGTCTGGGGAGGGTAATGTGTACGCAGACCTTACCTCTACCCCGAGGGGTAGAGAGGCTGTTTCCAATAGACCCTCGGCTCAAGAGAACGAAAAGAGACAATATATCAGTACCATCAACAAAAAACCATAGAAATAATAACAACATCACAAGAACCAGTAAATAGATGGAAAGCAGAAATAATAACCAGTAAATAAGACCCGACACTATGAAAACGGAAGAGTAGTATAAACACAACATTGACCACTAGCAGTCTAAGACTAAATCCTATCAGCCTAGCCTCACACTGGTAGACTAAATATGCTCAACTACCTCCTAACCTACAACTTTAATACTCGACCTCCACCGCTTCCTATCGAGTGCCATGTCCTCGGAGATCTGAAGCCTCGCCATATCCCGCCTGATCACATCTCCCCAATACTTCTTCGGCCGCCCTCTACCTCTCCTCGTACCCACCAACGCCAACCGCTCGCACCTCCTTACCGGGGCATCCAAGCTTCTCCTCTGTACGTGCCCGAACCATCTGAGCTTCGTTTCCCGAATAAAGCAAAACAAGTATTGTGGGAAATTTAGCAAATTATTTGTGGGACCCGGGTTAGGGAACAGTTAAATAGCAGTAGGGTAGGGAAAATGAGGTTAGGCTATTGTGCTGTGATGTTTCAGATTCCTCTCATCCCCTTCTTCTCTTGTTCCCTCCCACTTTCTCTGATTCTGTCTTCTCACCTCCTTTTTATTCTGTATCTCTGGCTTCTCATCCCCTTCTTTAGCTATCTCTGTTATTGTTCTCCTATTTTACTTCATTGTAAGTTGGCTTTTAGTGATTAATCTAATTTTCTTTGAGCTCCAGCCTTGTGTTATCTGTGGAGATTAGTGTTTGCAACAAGTATTCTCAAAGTCTATTTCAGTCAAATTAATACCTCCAAGTCTCTGTCCACTTGTGTCCGGTCCTTTAAACTGCTGTACAACTGTGACCGCAAAATGAAAGGCTGAATTGTAACCTGAAAATATTCTCATACTTGAATGGTTGAGATATTATAGAACTCTAGAAGCGTACACTAACGCAAAAACGACTTGCAAAGCTTCAAAATGCAAATGAGTGGACTAGAAAAACAACCAGAAATATTGCATTCTTTCGTATGATATAAAATATTCTATAAGAAAATGACTGACCTCATAATATCACTTTTCATGGTTTGTCTATCTTAAGCCGCTAAAATGATTTCACCGGCAAATTTTTTTATCGAAGGGAATATAACTTACGTTCTTCCAGGTTGAAAGTCATTTTTCGTTACAACATCTCAGCTCCTATTACGTGCCACTTGTTCCACCCATTATCCACCCCTAACCCTTTGAAATTCTTCCTTTATGTCCAACCAAAAAGCCAAAAATTATTTTGTTACTAGTTCTTTATGTAATATATTTTATAAATTATTTTCCTAGAAACAGTAAATCAGGGACTTAACGCACTATAAGATTCTAAAACATAAGCTGTAAAAAATAAACTAGTAATAAAATAAGACATATATTAAAACGGAGGAAGTAACATTTCTTCCTTTATGTCCAACCAAAAAGCCAAAGATTATTTTATTACTAGTTCTTCATGTAACATATTTTATAAATTACTTTCCTAGAAACAGTAAATCAGGGACTTAACCCACTATAAGATTCTAAAACATAATCTGTAAGGTCTACACTATGATGCTAGAATTAGCTTATGAGTTTCATAAAGTCCACAGCTGTCATAACTATGAAAAGGTCATTTAATCGAATCACAACATCATAATTTCTTCATATTCAATCTGCTACCTTTCATACCCTCAAACTTTGCCTTCAGCAGACTTGCTCTATTCAATCTGGCACATGCGTAGCTCTTAGTTCCTTCATTATAACTAGTCAGAAATATGACCATAACTCAAATTTAGGTCTCCCGTAGAAGAAAAAATTCAATCTTGCATAAAACTCTATATTACTAGTACAACGTCTGTTTTCCAGCATAAAACTCTTCATTACTAGTATATATCTGTATTACTAATACAACATTTAGTATCATATATAAAACTCCATGTAACTAACACCAGCATCACTTGTGAGAGAATATATCATATGTGTATTTTATTATATGGACAAAGAATGTGGAATAAGAATATATGTACTAACAACGCATAGATAAGAGCACATAAAATGACAAAAATATCGTTAAAAAAAATTTAAAAAAAAACAACCTGGCTAACATTATACAGTACCTTATTAATAATTTTTATTTTCAAAAATGTTTAAACTAAAACTTGTATCAACTGTGTATATTAATTAGTAAATCTAATTTCTGCATAATCCTGTACGGCCCGTTTACTGGCTATAATATTTACATGCACCCTTATTATAGTATTGACGAATGGAGTATTCTCAAGCACCCTTTCGTATTTCAAATAGTATTTATTTACTTAGCTACTAATTATTTACTGCATAACAATCCATCTATTATAAATAGTCTGTGAAACAATTCATGGTATTAGGATTATTCATTGCATAGCAATCCCTCATTATACAACAACAACGACAATTATGCCTCAGTCCTGAACAATTTGAGTTCGGCTATACGAATCCTCACTTACCATATTTCTCCATTTAAATTAATTTCAAGCCAACATTATACTCTCTAATATAATTCCTATTAAATAGTTTGTGAACTATTTCACTAATTCTATCCATAATTATCAAAATGACAATGAAAAAAAAACAACAAAATAAAAAGTAAAATTTGGACCTTTTCAATGCGGGGAAACTGAGCAGACATCATGCGAAGAGCTACTAGTGTATCGCTGAAGTTGAAATTTTCCTCCAGTGTAAGAAACTGTGCGTCGTTAAGCTCTAATTCGGGTTCGGGTTCGTCGTCGCGTTGGCGTTTTCGGCTTGTTGATGGGCTCGTGTTCTCCATTGTTTTTTCCTTTTTGATATGAGGAGACGGCTTACAGCTTTGTAAAAGAAAATGTCCAAATATACCCCTTTACTAATGCTTCCTACGTCCCAAAAGATTTATTTTTAGTTCGGAAAAGGGGCCAAATATACCCATGTATTATGAGAAAAGGTTAAAATATACCCTTGTTATATTTTGAGTCTAAATATACCCATATCGTTATACTATTGGTTCGAATATACCCATATTCTATTATATTTGTCCAAAGTGGACATCCAATCTTACGTGGCACTGACATTTGATGAGGTGGATGCCACATGGCTTGCCACCTTAGCGCCCCTAACCCATTTTACCCTGCCCTTCTGTTTTTTTCCACCACTAAAATTTTCTTCCCCTCCACCACTATTGCCACCATTACCGTTACCATGAAAAATATTGTATTCCAAATTTTAATCTTTTATATATGGATTAAGGTCGCTGAGGTGGCAAGTCATGTGGCATCCACCTCATCAAATGTCAGTGCCACGTAGGATTGGATATCCACTTTGGATAAACTTAATGGAAGAGAGGTATATTTGAACCAATAGTATTACGGCAAGGATATATTTGGACCAAAAGTATAACGAATGGTATATTTAAACCTTTTCTCATAGTACAGGGGTATAATTGGCCATTTGCCGTTTTTAGTTTCCAAGAAAATATTATATTTAAGTTTTTAAAAGATAATTTAACTTTAAATTTGTTTACCCTTAATAAAATAAATTATGTCCACACAAAGATCTAAAGCTTTTAGACCATAAGTTATAAAAAAAAAAAAATCAAATTCCGTGCTTGTTTTTCTTTATTAAATTCTGTGCCTGATATGAAATATTACGTGTTATGACAAAAGGGGAATCGGCATGACATAAAGTAAAAATTTAAGAAAAGTTTATGTATCGCATATTCCGGAAGTATTAGTTACCTAATCAACGAAAAAAGGGGCGTGGTATTTCAATTAGAGGAGCAATCAGTTGGTTCACTGTACCCCGACTCAGCATCACACATTCTCCAACAAGTAACTCCTCTCAACATTGTGTTATCAAAGCCAAGCCAGAATTGACTTTTGATTGTGATTTAAAATTACCCTCCATTATACTTTAGGTTGAAGCTCCCTTATATGAAACAACTTATGAATGATCCAAAAGATTAACAAATATTACATATATGTAATGCCTATGTCTTTTTACAGCATTTACAGTAATAACTAGCATTTTCAAGCTCGAGCTTGAGATAAAGGGAAACTGATTGATATTCTGCGTATGAAATACATTCTCTGAAATCTTTCCTCTTTTCTTAATATCTATCTTCTATCTATTATTAAAAAGAAAGAATTCAGCCATGAGAATTCGCCATGTGTCGCGTGAAGAAAACGCCATGTGGTAATTTTAGGACATAATTAGTTAAAAATAGTTTATTGTTTGAATTTGAATTTATAAATAATAAAATATCAAAAAAAATTAATTTAACAACAAGGAATAATATATGAGGAAGTTACCAAGAAGGAATAGAATTCGGGAATAGGAAATTACGATTATGGAGGTTTAAAAATAATCTATCAATTTTTTTACAATCATTAAAAATTAATTTACTAACAAGGAATAAAACTTCGGAAGTTACTAACAGGGAATCAACGCCATTTGCGCTTCAAACAACCACGATGTTGCTCCATGATCTCAACTCCTAACCCACTAATCCTTCTTCGTCGGAGTTCCAGTAATATGATTTTTCAGATTTTTCAGATCAGTTTTACACTTTTACAGTATATACCTCCAATTCTTTCTTCTTTCTTCGCATACCACTCAACAATTCTGAATTACAGGAGATAAGTTCTATGATTTGTAATTCTAGAACACTCATTAAATTTCTAGAAAGAACTACGAATTTTTTAGTTCTTTCTTCCTTTCACTCTATGCTTCTCTAGATTATGAACAGATATTTAACTAGAATATAGAAAAGCAACAAATTTTCCAGTTATTTCTTCCTTTCACTCATTCTTTGATTTTGTAATGCAATTCTTAGTAATCTGAAATTTTTTCAATCTGGCATCAAATGGGGCACTGATTATTTCTTGAAATCCAGTTCCAAGCTTAATCGCTTCTATATCCATGTTAGTCCCAATAGTTTTCAAGAATATTGAGAATTAATTTAATTCTAACTTTCTCCATAAACATATGTTTGTTGAATGTTAAAAATTTAATTGTGCATTTTTTTAAGGTTGGAGATCGAGTGAAAGATCATAAATATTGGACAAGGCCAGAGAATATGAAAATACCACAAATTGTACTACTGATAGATCAACTTCTCAATAAAGCCAAACTGGTACTAACTCTATCCTTTATTGTACGATATTTATTTCATTTCGCTTCTAAATATATGCTCACACTATTTTTTTGGTTTATGGCTCAGTCTTTTCAGTTTGCCAAAGGATAAAGGAACCTATTATGGGTATGACTAAAATTTATGCAATTCATTATTGTTATTAATTTTTAAGGTCTAACTGTTGGAGCAAATGGGTTTCTATTTCAGATACATACAACATTATAAGACCAATGTTATAGAAAAGTTATGTTAAAATTAAGAAGGTAATTGTATCAACAAACTCATAGTGATTTAACTTTAATATTTATCAATTTTTTAGGATAAATTTAATTTGACCTCTAAACATTTGGGAGGAATTGATATTTGGTTGTATTATAGAAGGTGGACTTCGCTTCTTATATTGAGAAGCATGAGTAATGTTTTGATGTTTGTTCTATGTGAGCATGTTACAAATGATCAGGATTCTTTTTATTATATACGTTGAAGATTTAGTTACAAAGACTGAGGCTTTATTCAAAGGTTGAGCGAAAATTTTTCATAACTGATTTCGGCTACCTTTACATTTTTCTCAATACAAGATTTAATTAGTTACAATGACTGTTGCTTTATACAAAGCTTTTGCCGAAAATTTTCATAACTAATTTCAGCTACCTTTTTTTTCCTTCTCAATAACTAATTAGTTTTGTAACACTTTGACAGAAAACCTAGGGAGCCTTCTAGCATGTGCCTATCGTAGGATGCCTTCCAGACTGATAGAGTAATAGGCATATTTATAGGTAGGCTAGGGACTCTTAGAAAAATACTTTAGCCCTAGGGACTTCTCCATAAATTACGTTTGCCCTAGGGACTCCTAATAAAAACATTTCTTTCCATCAAAGAAACTGCATAACTACATAATATTATATGGTATATTATTTACTTGGGAGACAAGGTAAATAATTTATTACCTAATATGTGGGCCACACTAGAAGTCTTTAGAAGAGGCGGTAAATTTCTAGCATTAGAAGAGACGGTAAATTTCTAACATTCTCCTACTTGGCCCACATATTAAAATCAGATAATCCTTTATGAGAGATAAACATAATAATATGGCCATAGACTTTATCACTCAATTAAAAGTTATGCAACAATCACTTTAACTAGAACATATCATTACATGAATCATGGCGGTCATGCTCTTAACAAACAATTCTTTCCATGTATTATAATGTACAATATGTTCAAACAAAATGTCAACAACTTTATGAATGAACTTAATATAAGTCATTTAGAGTCCAACTTTATTGATCCAATGATCACAAAATAATACATGAAAAATCAAGTGTACATTGTCATGTATATCAAAATAAACATAATGTCTAGACAAACTGTTAGAGAGCAAAGCAAGACTAATTGAGCTACTAAGTCTCATATGGGTTACATGATCCTTGAAAATATTAGCCGGCAGACCTTTAGTCATAGGATCAGCAATAATCAAAATAGTAATGACCTGCTCAAAAACACACATCTTGCTTTTTGACATAATCTCTAACCATCAAATACTTTATGTCGATATGTTTGCTCCGGCTGCTACTTTTATTATTCTTAGGAAAAAAAACTGCAGCTGAGTTGTCACAGAAGATTCTCAATGGCCTTGAAATGAAATCGACAATCCTAAGCCCGGAAATAAAGTTCTTCAACCATAACGTATGTGATGTAGCTTCATAGCATGCAACAAATTCAGCTTCCATAATAGATGTCGCAACAATTGTTTGCTTGACACTTCTCCAAGATACAACACCTCCATCAAGAAGGAAAATGTATCTTGAAGTAGATTTATCAATGTCTTTGCATCCACCCAAATCAGAGTATGAATATCCAATCACCTCCAATGAGCCAGATTATTTGTATGTGAGCTTAAAATCCTTGGTTCCTCGCAAATATCTCAAAACCCTTTTACCAACTTTCCAATGCTCAATACCAAGGTTACTTTGATATCTGTTAAGCTTTCCTACCGCAAAGGCAATATCAGGTCTAGTGCAGACTTGTGCATACATAAGGCCCCCAAGAAACGAAGCATAGGGAATGCCTTTCATTTGCTCCTTTTCCACTGCATTTTGTGGACATTGATTCGATGAGAATTTGTCACCTTTAATTATGGGTGTTGCTATAGGTGAACAGTTCTTCATCCCGAATCTTTTCAAGAATTTTTTTAATGTAGGCTCTTTGAGACAATCCAAGTAATCTATGGGATCTATCTCTGTGAATCTCTATACCAATGACATAAGAGGCTTCTCTCATATCCTTCATCTCAAAATTCTGGATAAGGAACTGTTTAGTCTTCTGCAATAACCCCAAATCACTACTTGCAAGCAAAATGTCATCCACATATAAGACTAGAAAAATATATTTGCGCCCACTTATCTTAAGGTATATACACTGATCAATAATGTTCTCTGTAATCCAAATGAAGAAACATCATTATGAAATTTAATATATCATTTGCGGGAAGCCTGTTTTAGCCCATAAATGGATTTATTCAACTTGCAAACAAGGTGACTTTTGTCCTTATCACAAAATCCTTCAGGCTGACGTATATATACCTCCTCTTCAAGAT